TCGAGAAAGAGCTCTGCCGTACGGATTTGTTTTTCTTTCTGGCCGCGAGGCCCTTGCAAAGTGGTAGCACGCGGTCGGCAGAAGCGAGAAAAATTCTCGTGGATCTACGAAGACCGATAGTGGCAGGTCGAGATACGTTCTGTTCGAGGACTCGTTCGATCTTCTCTATGTTAGATGGATTTTCTTGTAACCCCTCCCTAACCCCTACTCCGCGTCGTAATTTCTTTCCACGGCAGCATCCTCGTCTACGGCAATTCAAGTCGTTGCCTTCCAGTCGATATTCCCCAATGTTACTCCCCTGTTCGATGGCTCTTTGATGTTAGAGCGTCCTGAATCGAGGTACGTGTGCGCAATGCCGCTGCCGTCGCGGCAGCCGGAAAGTTATGTAAAACGGAGTTTAAGGCCGGTAGCATCTCGCGCGACAGAGGCAATTATTTTACGGGAGCTTATTTCGAGAATACGTTTCCCGAGGATTCTTCACGCGTGCTCGTCCAGCTCGCGTTCTTCGGTACCTACGCAACGGCCAGTTTACGGAAGTGCGCTCAGGGCGCGCTTTAAAATTTCAATCCCGAACTATTTCGAGAGCCTGTCTCGACTCTCCGTACAAATCGACAATGAGATGCACGATCGGTAGGAAGAACTGGCAAAAGAAATATCGTGAATCCCGTACGATCAGAAGATCCTGTGAAAATGAGAAGAGCGCGCTAGACCTCGTTCAGGGTGTATAGCTACCTACTTCGTGTATGTTTGCCGGGGCCTTTAGTCCCAGTGGGTAACCTTGCGATCGTCTAGCGAAGCCACGAACTTCGTTCCTCTTTGACGGTTCTTTTCAGTCGGCCAAAAAGTCGTCGGTCTGGACGGACCTCAACAAATTTGCGATTGGTTAGCGAGGGCACGCGTATTTGTTTAGGTGTGTTCCCGGTGTGTTCCCTGGTATCGTTTACCTGCGTATCGTTCCTCATTCTCTTCGACGTATCGCTCGACGGTTCTTCCCGCAGCGCACGCTCCTGCGTCCACACTCGCTTCGTAGTAACCTCGGCTGGAGCAGCGTTTGATCTCACCGCCAGAGCAGATCGGCAAAAGGCCTTTTTCTGCGAGGCTGAGCTCCGAGCTGCCCTCAAAGACTTGACTGATGACTTGCGCCCGGTGCCTGCGGCTCATTGCCCACCGCTTACTGCCCACTGACGTCCTTTGGATGTAGACACCGTGCGTAAGCCCTGCGCGAATCATCAGTCTCATCAGTCTCCCCTGGTACCTATGCTCCACTGGTTGTCATTCCGCTCGCGTGACGCGTGCCAACGACGACGTTCCACTCTGAGCACGTGTTCGCCATCCACGTCGGTGTCGCTGTCCCTGCGCTTCCTCTGAGAAAGGCAATACCTTCGAATTCCATCTGGCGCTCCCGAGGCGAAGATGGAGGTCGCCGTCGGATGAAGCAAACTCCGGTTCTCGAGGTCTGAGAACGGTACGAGGACGCTAGGAGGACGCTACGAGGAAGGAAGAAAAGTATTGTTGTAGGTTGGCCATTCTGGAGAGGAACTGGCGGCTCCTTTGAAGTCGGTCGGTACCGTGTGTAATTAGGCCCCCCCCCCACCACCACCACC